AATATACATATCAACAAAAAAACTAGGTTAAGTTGCGAAGATTTCGAAAACAAAATTTGAAAGATCTTATATATTTTGGCCCACAGCATCACCCATTGCCATGGTGCTATTAATTTTACATTTACGAATAACAAAAACAATACACAGCTAACATTCTCTGAGAAAGCGCAGAGAAAGAGGAATAAAATTTTGAATGATGGAAATATACCTAGGCGAAAACAACTATGACTATGGCTAGTACCTATAATTAGGTTCTTATCTGCTCAACTAGTCAGAGTACTAAATGTCTCATAGATCATTTAAATAGCCTATACTTAGAAATAATGAATACCATTCATGTTTTGTTGATGTCCTCTGATGTGTGGATGATGTACGGTTTGGCTTGTTTTCTTTAGAAAGATTTTCCCGTCGATGCTCCAGCCTCCAAACCAGTGGTTTAGTTTAACTGCTCTTTTCGTCTCCATGAACAAATTTTTTCGTTTCTTTGTTAAGTTTTCATTGATATAAACTGCAGTTTGATAACCAAATACAGCGCTCCAATCCACATTACGTGTGAGCTTCATTGCCATGTATAACCTTTGTTTGGTATGTTGAGAAAAGTATAATTATTTCCAGATTATATTTTCGTGTGTATTGTTCGAGTTCATCTAATTTTCTTTCTTCTACAACACGCTTCTCTTCTGAAGTTTTTAGAGCTTCCATTGTAGACTTGAGGTTATTTTCTAGGTTCTTACACTTCTCTTCTAGGTCTTCCCTCTTCTTTGACTCAAATTCGATTGACTTTGTCAGTTCTGGAACGCATGGGCGGACGAGCGGTGAGAGAGCTGGCCTGTCATCTCTGTGGACCCTGTTCGAATCTCGGTCGGGGCTCCATATGTGATTTGAGTTTCTTTCGTTCTCTCCCTTRCGTCGAGGGTTTTTCCGGGTCTTTCCTGGTTTTCCTCCCGTCATTCGTTGTTATGTAAAGTAAGTGCCTAGCCAGCAGCACGCCTATGTGTAAGTGTATGTAATACGTAAAATAAAATGATGAGTTCGTCCTCGCCATGTGCTTCTTGCTCTTCGTGGAAGCTGGCTTCCTTATCACTCATTTGTTCCTCTTGCTGTTTCATAGTTTTTTTATTCTTTCTGGTATTCATAACACACAATTTAACTTACTAGGCTAATAATTTAGCTCAAAACTCTGACTGAAAATTGAATTTTTCAGGAGCTCATTTGAACACAACTGTTCTGTCCCCAAATGGAGTTTGTTAATAAATTTATGCGAAACTTGTGAACATATGGTGGTGACATATGGTTGTGAACAAGTAAATTTTACCAGTGTTCTTGGCGCACCAAAATACTTGATGCTGATTGGCTGAGGACGAAGGTAAAAATTACGATTAGCGGTAATTCCTAATCCTCCATAATGAGATTGTTCACTCCATAATGTGTTCGGTCCATGTTTTATATATTAATTCCGTCTTGATTTATTTCTAACAAAGACTGTATCGCGAAAATGAAATACTTATAGCTCAATGGCACAGCTACAGGAAGCCACGCAAGCGATCCACAATCGTCTAGTATTTTCACTATATTTCAACTAAACCAATTAAATCTGATGAAGCAGGCCAGAGCACGAGACATAAAATGCAACGTGTATAATTTTGTTGTATTTTTTTCAAAGCAGAATTTGCCTTCAGGTCTCCCCATCACCCTCTGATCTCTATACGAAATATCACATTACGAACTACTGTAAAGAATCATAGAACAGTAATAACTGCCCGTGATTTACTGTACTAATTCTTTGATATTCTAGGCTTTTTGTTATTCTAAAACATTCATCTGCGTGTGTATCTGCATGTTCAGCAGCGTGAAAATCCTTCATAAAAAGCAAGAAAAAAATTAAAATAAAATGCCACAACGTTATTTTGAGCCCTGGTGTATCAACTTAGCAGTTACTGAATAAGCCTTTAGGGCACAAGTACACCCTGCTGTCAGGGTCTAGTTTTCAAAATAAAATCGACACATTTTAATAAATATGCGGCCAGAAAAAAATAAATGTACACATATTCAATGTATTGGCTTTTAAGCTTTGTCTCAAAATTTCAAACAAACGTAAAAACACTTTGAAATGAATAGTGATGCGCTTATGCACGAAAAAGTGACCTATTTTATACACAATCGCGAAAGAACAGAGCGTTAATACTGAAAAACAGTAATCACGTGACCAGTTTTGACATTTGGAGTCCGCCGTAAACGAAAACTCTCTATTAATTATTATATATCAAGTGTCA